GGAGTTTTCTGTGCCATCTTCTCTTTTTACTTGCTATATAATAAGAGCCTGAATAAATTGCATTAATATTCGAATTCCAAGTTGATGCCAGGGCTATGGGCAGGCTTACTAAAAAAATGGACATTTCTGAGCAAACGGATAGCTTTCAAATCCTGACTTGACTGACTGTATGCCAAGCAGACTTTGAGTTGCAAAGTAGGTTGACCCAGGCTTGGGGAAGTCACTGGACTTAGCTTTTTTGATCAGCCTGCAAAAGCGCAGTTTCAGACACTGTTCAGATCTACATATGTTAAGTTCTTCTGGGTAATTTATGAATTCCTGAGAATTCAAATGCTGAATTGTGCTATCCTAGAAACTGATAGAAGAGACTCTTAAGCAGTAGTGCTGAATCACAAGTCAGAATTATAATGTTAATGGAGAGAACCAGTCAGTAAGTCCCCATTTTACGGGAACTTTATTACTTCAATCAACAATTGTTCTTTTCATTTTCAAGAAACAGCAAGGGGCAAACAATAAGATGCAATGGAGAGAGGGTAGATTGCAGATTGCAAAGTAAGTGAAAAACACTTGAAAGTGCCAAAGATGAGGGTAGGAAGAAATAGAACCTGGACTTTGTGATGCTAATGCGGGTCAGAAATTACACTGTATGACTTCCCACTGCCTGAAATAAAACCCCTTTCTAAAACCCAGAGAGTATGCCTTTTGATAAAACGCATTCTGAGATCTTTTTAGCGAAGTCACTGACATCTGCATTATCATCTGCAGAGCAACCTGTGGGGGGACTTTGAGATAGGTGTGTGAAGGAAATGGGGATAGATCATTTCCTGAAATATTGGAAATAAAATGTAAAAAGAGATTTAGTAGATGACCAACTCATAAAGGGACTTGTAAGACTGGGATTTCACGGCAAAATTTTGCATGTGTCACACATCTGAAAGTTTTTGGTTTGTTTTGAATGGATTCCTTCTCAGGTGTAGCTGAGGTGGACCTAGGAATCTGGATTTTTAACAAGCTTCCCCAGAGAGACAGGTGCAGGCGATTTGAGCCACATTCTGAGACGTAAGAGTTGTAATGTCTTTATTGATGATATCAGTGCTGCCAACAGTCACATGACTTGTGTAGTAGTTTTTAAAGCTCTGTACTTTTCGCTTTACCAATACAATCTAGACAAAGATAGCTCCACTTTTCCCAAGTACTTTCCATTAGGTTGAAATTTTATATTAGCCCCCCTCCACCTTAAAAATCAAACCAAATTGGAATTTGATAATTACCTAGAATATGGCTGTAATAAAATGGATGTGAACATAGATGATGACTTGGGAATAATAAAATTTTAGAGCTTAATTTAGTCATTTGAAGAAAGACATCAATGTCACTTTTCAATTTGAGTCCCACTTTTGGTTTAGCCCAAGGTTTCTGTGAGTGCTCATGAATTTTTTCTTACATTTGAATAGTCCCCGTATGCTTTCAGTTCTGAGAAGACATCTGAAATGCTTTCAACAAAATGAGAAATAGAAGTCCAAGGAATAAACTGACTTTTCCATACAATGCTCTGCATTCTTTAAAATGACAAGACTCTAAATTTGAATCCTTTGCTTTAAAATGTCCTCACTGGAAGACCATTGTTTCTGAAAATTAGAAGCTGGGAAAGCAAAGATTTTGACAGTTTTCAAACTGATTATCTTCAGGGTAAAAATAATGATATGAGCTGAGTAAAAAAAAATTAATTTGCATGGAGTTTTAAAACTGAGTCAGTTTTCTATGAGCACTCAAAATATTGTTCTTTTCCCCATGAGAAACCTCTTTTTCTTGAAATGAGGAGAGTAGTTTAATGAAGGCGCGTTATTAATGAAATAATGGGAGGAGAACTTATTAATAAGACCACTGGCCCAGTGCATATGTAAAAGTGTCAGTCAGACAGGTGGCAAAGGTGATGTTGCTGACAGGGTCATTGCAATTCAAAGCCTGGGGAAATAGTCATGGAAGGTCAACAATTGAATTCATGTAGAATAAAAATGAGCAAGACTAAGTGGTGCTTCAGAACTAAGTCATGCAATAGGGGGAACAAAAAATAAGCTATTAAAATGACAAAGATTTTTTTTTTAAGTATGCACAATTCCCATCTGCTCAGTCTTCTGCTGCTTAGGTCTTGTAATCATAGCTCTAGAAGGTAATTCAGAGCTTCTAAGCAGTGGGACTTAAAAATTAACTTCCTTCTCCAGGCAACTTAGTGTAGATAGAGGAAGGGTAGGTTTCCTTGGATTTGTTCCAAGCTCTTAATCTTGGAAGCCATCACCTCATTTAGGGATTTCCTTCCAAACACAAATGTTTAGATTTCTTTTTCTTAGGCTTCCTTCTATGACAAGGTTCTCTATGTCTGATATTCCAGCTCTTCCTATATTTTTAAAATGTAACCCAAAGTAATAGACATTCTTGAAAACATAAATAACACAGTACTTATGAGACTATGGATAGGAGGATGTGGTTTCTAAAGGCGAATTTCCTTACTGGAGGATATCTGCAACCTTACTGAGTAAAGAGGAAGGAGAAGACTCAGAAGAACAAAAGAAGTCTTCAAATGTTAGAAAGTCTCTAATAGGAAATGAGGATTGGCTTTATTCTGGGTAGTTCTAATGGGTTATACCAACCCATGAAAGTTACACATAGTTTTGTCTCAATACAAAGGAAAATTTTCTGAAAGTTAGGACATTTCAGAGTCACTGTGAATCTCATTGGGAAAGAGTATTTAACCCAGGCAGGATGATTATTTGTTGGTAACTTTTGGCAAAAAGCTGAGAAGCACTGGATGAGAAATTGGAAAAAATGACTCATTTCTGCTCTTTTCAACTCTGGGATTATCTGATTATATGATACTATGATTCTGACAAGCAACAAATAGCCTGATCACTCAGACTTTTCATTGAATTTATAGATATTTAAACTTTATTACTTTCTCCCAGCGTCTTCCTGTTCTTATGAGTTTTAAAAAGTGAAAAAAATGTCAATCATTATTTTAATTTTGACTTTATAGTATTATACAGTATGACATTTTATGGATAACTATTGAGATAGCATTAAAAATTCTGTAACATTATTATTTTTGTTATTATTGCATTGGATTATCATGTAGACTCCTTGGATATTTAAAGGGAATCATAGTCATGGTGTTGGGTGAGAACACCAATATGCTTAAGGCTGTTTCTTTATGGGGGATTATTGGTTAATTCTTGTATCTTCATGATACATTCTTAAGATATTCACTTAATTAGAAACTAGGACAATACCCAAAGCTGTGAGGTTGTTTACAATAATGGGCTGTTTAGAGAGTTAGAGAGTGTGAAAGATAAATGAAAATTAAATTAGAAACAAGGCTCATTTTGTCAGAGGTGATCCAACCAAAGCAACTCCATCTTGAATAGGGGCTGATTAAAATGAAGTTGAGACCTGCTTGGCTATGTTCCCAGGGAGTTAGGCATTTTTAGTCACAGGATAAGATAGGAAGTCAGCATTACTGGTTTCACAAGTTACAGGCCACAAAATTCCCTCTGATAAAATGAGATATGGTCAAGAAGTCAGCCAACAACCCAACAAAACCAAGATGGCAATTAAAACGATCTCTGGTAATACCCACTGCTCATTATGTAGTATTTATAATGCATTAGCCTGCTAAGACACTCCCACCATGCCCAGCCTGCTTCTTTTTTTTTCTAATTGTAATAGTACATCCTACTTATACACACATACAGATGATTGATTTATTAACTTTGGAATTTTAAAATTACTTCCTGCTATATAGATAATGATAAAGCTCACAATACCATATCTAACAGCTGGTTAAATAACAAGTTCAGACTTTTGATACCGAAGTGCTTTATATTGAAAAGTGAATGAGATACCCTATTTACTGATTTCTATCTTTCCATATATACATGGTATGTGGTCTGTTTCCCAACATGTCCTTTTCAGTAAAACCTTACTGATGAACATGACACATAATTTCTCCATTCTTGCATTTATTTATTCATTTACTCAATAAATCTTTATTCAGTACCTAAGTACTATGCTAGGCATTGGGAATAGTAGTCCTGATCAATATTTTCCCTCACAGAGCCTATTTTTGTTCTGACTTGACAGTCTCTTTGCTTTTTTACCTATAGTCTATCTAGTGAGACAAGTGTTGAACAGGTTATTACAATCGTGTTGTATGCTATGAAGAAGTACAGGCAAATCTGCAAATGTGTCTTCAGGCACACTAGAAGGGTACCTCTAGTTACCCTGGAGATCGGGGTACTTATAGATGACTCAACGCTTTATCACTGTCTCTCAGCATTACTGCTTTCACTAGATTTAAGAAATTAGAGTTTCAATCATTATTTTAATTTTAAGTTTATATTATTCTATATTTAGCCTCGCTGAGAAAATGGTATTTAAACTTAGACTTGAAGGATGAAGACGAGTTAGAGGAGGAGCTGTAAGCATGAGATGGGAAGAGTATCCTGGACAAGGAGCCATCTCATAAAGCGAGAACTATCATGGTGCATTGGAGGACCAGGAAGTGACCCCACATCTTAACGGAACTTTACAACAGAGCTGCATTGACTTCATCTTTCAAGCGCTCGTCACGATTCTTCCGTTATTTAATTTCTTAAAAATAGGACTTGCAAGTTAAAGAAAATCATGCCATCTTTCCATTCAAATAGGAAAGGAGGTGGTAGATAAATGATGCTAAGTGGTACATGTCAGATATCCCTCTCAGCACTTACAAATACCGTGGGTACATGTCTTAGCTCTCCTTTTGTGGGCAGACAAACCTCTGTACCCATCTAGAAATAGGTTTGCTATTTTGTTATGGATTACTTCAAATATCTCATGAAAATCATCTGACGTGGAGGCCAAAACAAAGCTGGTCTAAGAGCGTGTGTTGGAGCAGAATAATAATGTGCTGTTCAGAATTCAGTCAAAGCTTCCTCATGTCCTTCTGCATGTCACATGCAGGATACAGGAACTGGGAGAGAGCTGAGTAAGCATGAAAAGATCACTTTTAGAGTCTCCATTACTGCCTCTCCTTCCAGTCCCCAGCACTGTAGAAGCACAGATGAGAGGAGAGTTATGGATTGAGCGTGAGTACCAATACAACACTTTTAAGTGTTATTTCCCCCTTGAAGCATCAGTGAATCTAAGAACTGAGGAAGGAAGAGAGTGCAGGTGTATAACCTCCCACTTGTTTGCTCTCTAAAAACCCTTTACAGTGTCTTCTCCTCCCTCCTCCCTTCTGATTTCATATTTAATATTTGACAAGGTAGAAAGAAGAGAAAATGCTGTCAGCTCAGGATAAAAATAAACTAGTTCATATCTGCCTACTTTCATTTTTGGGGCAAAACTGTGGCATTTGTATTAGATTGAGGACCCATATGTAGGAAGATGGAACACCAAAATACTGGGGACAATATGAGGGGTGATGTTTATGGGCAAAATGGGGTTTCTGATTATAAGGTCCATGGTTATCACATTAAAAATGGGGACTTACATTACAGATGTACACTTAAAATATTGAATTTCCCTATGTTGCTGTACTGAATCCACACATCAACCTATGATGATTTAATGTTAGCCAGTAGTTAATTGTATTTACTCAGGCAAATTTCTTAAATTCTATCTAATATTAACTTAATGCAATAGAGTGGAAGGCAGTTTATTCGTAACGTCTGCAAAATGATTGATCTTCCTGTTAATGATATTTCTGGAGTTTAGTTATCATAACTCTAAAGTAACACTGTTCAATAATATAATGTAATCCACATATATAATTTAAAATTTTTATAGTCACATTAAAAAAGTAAAAGTAAATAGATAAAATTAATTTTAAGGACATGTTTTATTTCACTTAATATAGCCAAACTGTTATCATTTCAGCATGTAATCAAAGTGAAAAATTACTGAGACATTTTACATTTTTCCCCACTGTCTTCAAAATCTGATCTGTAATTACACTTAAAACAAATATCAAACTAAATGCTAAGTGTTCATCATAACTACTTCATCTGTTTTTACATTTCATAAAAGATACAGTTGAAAAAGTAGATTTATATAGAGAAAGTAAAAAGATCAAAGATTGGGGAGACAGAGGGATGAATAGGCAGAGCATGGAGGATTTTTAGGGCAGAGACACGATTCTACATATTTAACTACAGTATGATACTATAATGGTGACTATGTGTCATTATACATTTGTCCAAACCCATAGAATGTTCAACATTAAGAGTGAACCTTAACGCAAACTATAAACGTTGATTGATATGTCAGTGTAGGCTCATCAATTCTAACAAAAGTACCACTCCACTGCAGGGGATATTGATTGGGGGAGGCTGTGGAGGCAGAGGGTGAACTTTTGTACTTTTTACTCCATTTTGCTGTGAACCTAAAAACTGTTCTAAAATATAAGGTCTCTTAAAAATTAAATTATGAACTGACCAGTGAATTTTCTCCTCAAACTTCCATTCTTACATTATAACTTCTGAGAAACTTAATAATGTTTGATATGATCTAGAGTTTGCATAATGTCTTTTGATTTTGAAAATTCTTTCTTCCCTTTAAGTCTTGTCAGCTACTATGTAAACGCCTCAAAACCAAGTCCAGAACCTTGTTTCATAGCCTGTGTTCACAAACTGCATGTAATCTCTGTGTAATCATTTGTTTCTCTCTCTGTCTTCCTCTAGGCGCTAAGCAATTCCAAGGCAGAGATTAAATCTTGCTTGAATTAGTAAATGGAAGGCTTAGTAGTCAGACACAAAATAGGTCTCAATAAGTGTCCGTTGAATGGTGGAAAAAAGTAGATTCACATAACCAAGCTGTTCCAAACATACTGTCAGTTTTACAATCATGGAACTGGGCATTTGTTGTTAGATTTAAATTAATGAAATTAAATACAATTAAAATTTTGTTTCTCCATTCGACCAGTCACAGTGAAGTGCTCATTTAGCTGATATGGGTTGGATACTTGTCCCCTCCAAATCTCATGTTGAAATGTGATCCCCATTGTTGGAGGTGGGACCTATTGAGAGGTGTTTGTGTCATGGGGGTGGATTTCTCATGAAGTTTTGTACCCTCCCCACGGTAATGTGTGAATTCTCACTCTATTGTTTCTGAGAGAACTGATTGCTAAAACAAGCTTGGCACCTCCTCCCCTCTTTCTCACTTGCTCTCCCTCTCACCATGTGACACGCTGGCTCTTCTTTCCTTCTGCCACCAGTAAAAGCTTCATGAGACCCTAACAGAAGCCCAGCAGATACTGGCACCATGCTTGTACAGCCTGCAGACCTGTGAGCCAAATAAGCCTCTTTTCATTGTATATTACCCTGCCTCAGGTATTCCTTTATAGCAACACAAAATGGACATTAGCCACATATGGTTAAGGCTGTCACATTGGACATGCAGATTGATGTATTATAAAGATAGAAAAATGGAAAAATTATCCCAGTTCCAACATCTTGTGGACAATTTTCTTTTTCCCTTCTCAGTCTGTGAATTTGCAAGTGATATATATAACAAGGATTTACAACATTTTTTAATGTGCCGAGTCATATGAACAATAAATAACTGTTACCACTTGTGCTTCTGTATTTCCAGTGACTCATTCGCTGGGACTCCCACCTTCCTGTCAAATTGGGCCATGGTGAAGTCAGTGAAGATTCATTAGCATTTCAGATGACACCATTATTTCATGCAGCATTCTAGAACAAATTTGCTTTTGTCATTACTGGCATGCACTTTGATATGGATCATTAAAAAAATCCTTAATAAAAAAGTTTCTCTCTTAGGAGCTTATAGTTGAGATTCCTGGGTAAAATCCAACTCTTGTGTCAAAAACTGATGTTGCTCGCTAATCTGAGTTTGTCACCTCTCAGAGTCTGATTAGAGAAGTAGAAATGGATTTTCCTTAGCAATCTAGAGGATTAATATAAGTGATCCCTTACAGTTTTTTTTGGAGAAGTACGAGGGAAAATGTAGATTTAAACAAAGAAAATGCATTGCAGAAATAACTGCATTATTACACACTTTCCTCAGGGATTAGCAATACCCCACTATAGACAAATTGGATGCCTGGATCTATAGCACATGCTCTGTGAAGCCAAGTGCTTGTGAGGGCTGCTTTCTGGGTCCTTCTGTTCTGTTACAGCGATTTCAAATACCATGGCATCTCCTATCAGGATTTTGCAGACTTGGGTTGGACAGAGCAGCAGATATCAGGCCATTCAGTGCATTTCACAAAGCACTGATTGGAAATGTAAGACATTGATTTGTGTGCAGTACAGAACACAATGTACGTAAGACATAGCCCTTGACTTTAAAGAGCATTGCTTGTCTGTAAGATGAGTCCCCTAATGAAGTCAGTACATTATAAGTATACTTTTATATTAATAGCTTCAAATTCTAGGCTCTAGGGGAAACTCTTTTCTTTTCTCTGCTTTTCTTCCTTATAATGAGAATTGAGAACTAAAATACAACTTGATGTTCTAGCACATTATCTTCCACTTCTTATGTCCTCAAAGTTCTGAGCAGAATTGGATTGGAAAATCCCTGTCAGCATCCATTATCTCTTGAGTTTAAATTAAAAGTCTTTTCCAGGACCTCAGAAGGAACTACACAATCTCGTCCTTGCCTATCTCTTCAACTTCATTCCTCTCCAGCTACATCAATCTCTTGCACTTTCTTAAACACACCAAAGGCTATGATCTTTGCATTTTGTTGTTGTTCTCTCTGCCTGGAATGTCCTCTTTACATAACTGACTGCTTTTCATCAGTTAGTTGATATGATATGACATCTCTTTCTCTTTGTCAAAAAAAGCAAAGATGCTTTCTCTGACCACCTTGTCTAAAATAACATCCTTCAGCTCCAGTTTCTCTGTAACCTCTTTCTTTTTTATTTTCTTTACAGGACTTATCACTGTCTCTATTCATTTACCATTTCCCCTGCTGAAATCTAAGGGTCATGACGGAAAGGACTTTGTCTCATCTGGTGAAGTGGTTTGACTATGTCCCCACCCAAATCTCATCTTGAATTCCTGCGTGTTGTGGGAGGGACCCAGTGGGAGGTAACTGAGTAATGGGGGTGGGTCATTCCCCTATTGTTCTCGTGATAGTGAATAAGTCACATGAGATCTAATGGGTTTAAAAAGGGAAGTTTTCCTGTACAAGCTTTCTTCTCTTGTCTGCTGCCATGTGAGACATACCTTTTACCTTCCACCATGATTGTGAGGCCTCCCCCGCCATGTAGAACTGTAAGTCCAACAAGCCTCTTTCTTTTGTAAATTGCCCAGTCTCAGATATGTCTTTATCAGCAGCATAAAAATGGACGAATATATCCAGACTCTAACGTCAGTTCCCTGCAAAATAGAGATGCCTCATATTATCTGCTTGTTGCAGTTCATTTGAGCTGCTATAACAACATACCTTAGACTGGGTAATTTAGAGACCATGGAAATTTATTTCTCACCCTCCTGGAAGTTGGAAAGTCCAAGATCAAGGCAACAGCAGATTCACTGTTGGTGAGAGATCTCTCTTTGCTTCACAGATGGCATCTTCTCACTGTGTCCTCATATAGTTGGAATGACTGGCTGGTTCTCTAGGGTTTTTTAAATAAAAGCACAAATTTCTCTCTCTATCTTTATGACCTAATCACCTCCCAAAGGCCCCACTTTTTAATATCATCACCTTGATTAGGGTTTAACATGAATTTGGGGTAGAGGAACGCAAACAGACCACAGCTGCACTCAATAAATATCTGTTGCATTAATGGATGTTTTGCTTGTCTAAGCATTCACTGCTGGTGGAGCCTGAATAAGTCAGATACCATTTTATAATAATAGTTTCTTCACTCATGGGAGTTTTACACAGATATATTGAGACAATATCTGTAAAAAATTAAAAATTGCTATGTATCATACAATATAAGTACGGCTATTTTTTCTACTCAGGTTAGCTGGACCCCCACAGAGCTATCTAGCTTCAGAAAACTCAGTTTCTGCTTTGCACAGCAAAAATGTGCACCTCCAAGAACCAAAGTAATTCGTCTTTGTAAAAGGAGGGAGCAGAGACTAATTTGTTGTAAGATGGTAACTCATCCCCAAGGATTCCATGGTCTTTTGTGTGTCTGTTGGTGAGGCAAAAAGGGGTTTTAGAACTCCCATACTCCCATTTCAACTTTCTGTCCACAGAATGACTTTGCATTTAGCCACTAGATTTTGTCAGCATGGGCATTATTTGGCTTCTGAAAGGTATATGTAAGAAAATTGAAAATGAAGGGCAGCCAGCTGCCACTTTTTAGATAATGACAGTAATGATGTGGTAAATTGGTATATTCTTCAAGGAAATATTCAGGGAGATTCATTTCAAACAAGCCACCTTGTATTAAATGGGATCTACTTAAAATAATTCTGCAGCACAGGTGGACATCATAGCTGCAAACTAATAGCTATATAGAAACACACCAAAATGAAGACGGCTAAATTCTATCTTTGAGTCCCAACAGTGTTCACATGATGCCCAGGAAAGAAAATAAGGGAGTAAATTGTCAGCTTATGGTGCACATTAATTGGAAAGTTAATAAAACCTTTTCATTCACTTAAACTGATGGTGGTACATAACCACGTGCTAATAAACAGAGGAGAAGCAGCTTGCTGTGTACAGTCATTTCTTAGTAAGGTTAACAAACTACATTAACCATTCACTCATCTGTAACTTGTAATTAATCACTCCTTGAAAATTACATTGTATAACAAATGAGGACAGACATGATTCATTAAAACTTCTAATTAATTCTATTTAATACTATTTCATAGTTCATTGATAAGTGCTGAGAGAAGGATTACACTGTAGGATATTTGATGCATTGCTGCTGAAGAAGTAAATAGGGGGAACATTATCTAAAATGAAACATGAATACTTGCAAATGAAAATGTCAGATGTTTATCATCCCAGTGCCTGGTTCTATACTCAAGGGTCTCTCAGCATTACCAGTGGAAAACTCCATTTTCAGGGCTGTATCAGTTGGGTGTAAAATCTCTTCTGGGTTCAGCTGGATGCTTAGCATCTCAAGCTGGGGATGAGCTGAGTCTACTTTGTTTTTCTAATAAATGTTCAGGGGTGCTTTGTGGGCTAATAATAACACTATTATTAAGCAGATATATCCACATCTGGAAAAAGATCGATTGATATAAGAAGACAAATACTTAACAGGCAATTATGGCATTGGGGTCATTTAATTGCTCTGTGTGTGTGTGTGTGTGTGCGTGTGTGCACATGAGTGTGTGTATTAGTAGATATTAAAACAGCAGGGATATCTGTGTCAAGAAAAGCCCGGTACATTAACTTTAATGTACTTCTTTTCAGAGAAAATAAGGCAGTGAAGTACATGGTTACAGCCTGGGCTGAGGAGAAGACAATCACCACTAATAAGTGAACAATGCATCTTTTGAAGTTTAAGTTTGGAATAACGTATTGTTAGCTTTTTTTTTTTTTTTTCACTTTGCCATCGACATAGTCTTTCTCCAAAATGTGTTATAAGAACCATTAGTGGTTCCATCGTGTAAATGGCAAGGACTCGGAGAGAGAAAGATTCACAAAATATACACCTAAAATAGGTAGTTGTATCATAAGTTTACAAAGAACTCTTACAAGTTAATAATAAGAAGACATCCAACTCAGTTAAAGAGTTGAACAGACACATCAAAAAATGAGAGGTATAAATATCCAGCAGGAAGATGCTTAACATCATTAGTAATTGAGGAAATAATAATTAAAACCATCATAAGAAACTGATATCTATTAGACTTGTTAAAATTAAAAAGATTGACAATACCATGTGCTGATAAAAATGTGGAATTCTCATATACCACTGATGAGAATACAAAATGGTAAACCATGTTGGAAAATATTTGACAGTTTTTTTTTTAATGTGATAAGCATACATCTACCATACAACCCTGTCATTCTACCCCTAGATGTTTACAGGAGAGTAATGAACCACTTGTTCAGACAAACACTAGTACATGAATGTTTAGGTGCTTTATTAGTAATGGCCCCAAACGATAAGCAAGCCAAGTGCCCATTAACAATTGAATTGATAAACCAGATGTGGTACCCTCCATACAACAATGAAATACTTCTCTGAGGGAAAAGCAGAACTAACTAACAACTGTCAACCTGGATGGAAAAAAAAAAAAAAAAAAAAACTAGACCGAAAGACTTCAGAGTGTATGAAAGTCTAGAACATGCAAACTAATCTGTACTGACAAAGAGTAGACCAAGCTTTGTCAGGGACTGTGAGCAAATGGAAGAATGATGTACGAAGGAGTCCAAGGAGTCTTTTGGGGCTGATGGAAGTGCTCTGCCTCATGACAATGGTGGTTGTTCAAACCATCACAACTCATCAAATCTTCTACCTTAAATGGATGTGACTTATTGTCAGCACATTATCTTTAATAAGTTGACTGCTACAAACGAGTTATAAGTCTGGTTGATGCATCTCCCAATCAAAATAATAAGATTCTTTAGTGAACAATTACTTTGAAGCCTCATCTAAATTGCATCTACATCAAAGCAGGTGAGATAGAGAAGGCTGTTGACACAGGAGAGGAAGCAAGTTCTGAAGAGCTGATAGCTATTTTCTGGCCCTGAGCTGATGGGCATCTAATTAACATGTTTCATTCTTCAGGAAAGGTGACTCTGCAATGTCTTCTTAAAGTGAGCTACTTTTGAAAATATTAAAGTAACCTTGTGCCCCTAGAGAGTAAAGTACACTATGATGGAGTCCCTGCAGTGTAGTCCAAGGATTGGCATTTTAGGCATTTGATCTGTGCCCTGAGCTTCTTTCTACCTGTAAAAAAAACCAAAACTGATTTTCAGGCTTTCACATCCCAGCACCTTTCCACATCTGAACCACTTCATGATTTTAGAGCTGTTTCTTGAAGAGCCTGCTTATACACCCCTGAACTTAGAAGTTAGGAAAAAAACAAAAAACAAAAAACCCACCACCACCACCAGCAACAACAAAACAACAAGAAAAGACACAAAAATATATACATATTAACCTCAAAGGAAGTAAATCTGGATTTCTGAGTTCTGCACCTACTAACTTGGGTAAGTCATTTAACCTGCCTGGGCCTCAGTTTTGTCATCTCTAAAATAGGAATAATAAGACTTCTGTTACTGGGAGGCTAAAGGGCACAATATATGTGAAACCTGAAGCCCGTTTGGAGGGGTGTGTGCGTGTGTGTGTGTGTGTGTGTGTGTGTGTGTGTAACAACTCTCCAGGGATTATCTGAGGGGATGAGAGGGTAAGGAGGGGGCATTCAACACACGGGGTCTCCAATTTTTGCTTTTAAGGTGTCTATTGCTGGAAACATGTTTGTTAAAATTCATAAATCACAGGATTTGATAAGAAGTTTTTTTTACCCAATATTATACAACTAAAAAAGTGAGGAACTCACAAAAACACTAGTCTTCATTAATACTTCTTTTATATATTAGGGTCATGCATAATAATGCATTTTTTCAACTAATATTATTCTTAATAATGCCATCATCAAATTTAATTAACATTTTCCTATAAGAAAAGCAGATAGTCTCAGACTTCTTCAGTGGTTTATAGAGCAGCTTAAAGGCAAGATTTTTGCAGTTCTCAAAGTCACAGCCAGTACTTATGAAAGCCTAGTATAAATGTGTAGAAAATAAGAAAGGCAATAAATCTTATATGATGCTAAATTATTAACCTATTTTTCTCTTCTTACAGGATTGACCTTTTAGTGGACTGAATTATCTACTCATTTTCAATTAAGTTTCCATATGGCAAATTGAAGCTGACCCTGTTACAATTAGAAAACTACACAGAAGAAAAGAGGCCATAAATATTGTGAGAGAAATTGTATTTTTGGATATTGTGTATTTAGATTTTTTCCAGCTCCCCAAAGAAAGAAAGAAAAGAAAAAGAAAAAAGAAAGAAAGAGCTGTTACAGTATGTTGGGCAAAATAGGCAATCAATTAACCTAAATAACTGTAAACCCCTCTCCTACCATAGGTCTCATTTGTTCCAGTATCCTCCATCATTGATTTGGTTTCCTTGTGTAGACTCTAGAAAGATTTTATTAAGGTGATGAAGTTTTAGGAAGATTCATTGTTATTGAGAGGCAAAAAATATACCTGGGTGATAGGATGATCTGTGCAGCAAACCACCATGGCACATGTTTGTCTATGTAACAAAACAGCACAATCCTGCTTATGTACCCCTGAACTTCAAATAACAGTTAGAAATCACAAAATTAAAAAAACCCACCACCATCACCACCACCAACAACAAAACAACAAAAAGAGAATAGAAAAAATATTAACCTCAAAGAAAGAAAACCTGGCTTTATGACTGAGTCCTGCACCTGCTCACTTGGATAAGTCATTTAACCTGCCTCGATCTCAGTTTTGTCATCTCTAAATTGGAATAATAACACTTCTGTTACTAGGGGATGTTCAGGACTAAAGGGCACGATATACATGATAGCTCTTATAACTGATATGATAGTATTGTTTTGCATCTGTGATAAACTTATTTCTCACAAGAACTTTTTTTTATTTCTAAAATTTTCTTAAAATTTTAGCCATTTAAAGTGTTTAAGAAGCATTTGATAAAGACCAAATGTGCATAGTAGTGTATTCCCTAAGGGAAATGTCTTGAAAAAAAAAAAAAAAAACTGGAATAATTGCACTGGTCTCTTAGCTAGTCATGCCTCCCAGCCTGTGTCAGAGCCCAATTCTATATGACTCTCAAATTCATCTCATCCATTAGTAAAATAGAAGAGTAGGAGAAAGCTTTCTCCTTTCCCCAAAATATCTCCTTCACCATCTAGTCATAGAACTAACATTTCCCACTAATTTGTGAAATGTATTTCATTATAAACATAAATTTGAGGGGCAATTGATATATTGATACATGTGTCCTAGGGTGACGGGTCAGCAAGTGAGCAGATCACACTGGTAATTAGGTAATTAGCATGTAATGAAAGGTTTTCTTGTCTTTGATGAAGACTTCTTTCTTCTCTGTGTGAACTGCGCAGATTTATACAGTCACACCCCAAAACAAAAACAAAAAACCCTTCAGGTTTGACTGAATGTAATGTCACAGTACAAAAATTAGAAAGCTATTGAAGTATTTTGAAATGTAGACAATTTTCCTCTAACAAAGAACAAAGGAAATTTGCCTGAATGTCTATTTCATCAGCTGATTTTTTTTTTTTTACAAGCAGAATTTTGCAAATAGCTTAGTTTGAAAATTTGAGAGGATTCTTGATTTAATATTTTTGGACTAGTTTTTAGGTATTCTTTTGCACTAAACAATTATAAACATTTTTCTTATTTTCAGCACAACTGTCTATGACTAACTGTGCCACTCATTAATGTATTACTTCTCAGCTCCAAAGTCATCCTTTGTTACCTGCTTTGCAATAATGGAGCGTTACCCTTTAAGCATTTTTCTTTTGCTGTGGGCATGGTATTAAGCTTTGTCAGAAGAGGGCAGTGGAGGGACAGTGAAGGAGGATGGGACTCTTCCTCTTCTTGGTTCCATTTGTGTTTTTTCTCACTGCATGGCTGGCAGTGGCATGTTGGATGGAGACAGCCAGGAGTGCTATGCCCAATTGTGTGCTTGAGGTGAGTTTGAAATCTCAGCCCTAGCCTGGTAGTCTGCTTTTGAGGTCTTTCCAAGGTCAACACTGTGTTCTCCAGGCTTCATGCTACCCGCTCAATAAGTGAACTCCTGATACTCCAATGCTCCCCTTCTTCAGCTCACCTACACCCCAGGAGGTTGTTTCTCATGGCCCTCATGAGTCAGACAATGTATACTATACTGCAGGCCTCACATCATCATGCAGGTCAATGAGCTCCCCATGCTCTAACTCCATCCACATACTACCCACCAGACTTGGCCAGTCTGTATCCTGGATGAGTATTTCTTGCTTGCCCCATGATTATGAACCTGCTCTGGCTCAGGAACACCAATGAAATTCTTCACTAACCAGTCAGCTGCAACCGTATCTTCTCCAACAAGATCTGAACTTCAGACTTGGAGTGGGGCCCTCCTTTCAAATTTGTTCTTCCCTTGGGTATTCTCCTTCAGCTTAGGATATTCCTTAGTTTTTTTTACTCCTGTATAGCTACTTACCTGCTATAGGTAATAATTGTTCACGTTAAACTTTTCCTGTTGAATTACAATTGCAATGTCAACCTTTTGTTTGGTCACTCTGATATTCTATACTAACATAGAATTGGTATTGAGATGGAGAGTAGTCCCAGGTTATAGACTTGCAAAAATGGGGTTTTGAAACTGGTTTGGTTTTGCCCTTGGACATGAGCACAAAGCTGAGCTCTTCTCTAATAGAAAATGGGATGCTAGTAATTCATGGCATGCAGGGATATCATAATCAATCATACTATAACCAGTGGTAGATTGCCATGAAATGTGAACTACAGTGAGTGTCTTGGGTGCTCAGGAGGCTGGAGTCAAGCTGACAAGGGTGATAATAATGGCAACTTCAAGGACTGTGGTATGGGGTGAATAATTTTGATTGAATCTGAGTACCTAAGAAAGGAAAAAGATAATCTTAGGTGCCTTAGCACTCAGCTTAAGTCACAGTTTCAGAACTGTAAAGCTTTCATAATGGCCCTAAAATTTGTCTAACCACTATTAGGCTCAGAACTAATATTACTGAAAACCAAACATAAAACTTAGTGTACAGGGTGCTGAATTATAGTTAACAGTTGAATTCACAGTCTTGTCAGGTTTCTCATGTGAATGTTAGAACACTGATTGGAAAATAATGAGGTCCTGAATCTTGTAATTTGGACTTATGGCTGAGCTCAGAAAAAGCAAAACAAAAGAAAAACCCCAGTAATTTTGGCCACAGAAGTCATTCTGAGTTTCTTTCATCCGTGGAAGTAGCTTGCTTTCCAAGATCTGAGGAAACTAGCCTTCCTCTGCATGAAAAGCCTGTGATAACCTCACTTGGAGAAGACACCACATCCTCCTCAAGACGTACCACAACCACTTGCTGCTGCTACTAGACCTATGGGCTAGGGTAATATATCACTAAGCTACAGGAGACAGTGAACACAGGACAACCCAGGAAGCGATGGCTTACATTATGAAGGCCTTGACTTTTCTTTCTTTCTTTTTTTTTTTTTTTAAATACTTTAAGTTCTGGGATACATGGGCCTTGACTTTTCTAACATATATCGGCAAAAATCTGCAGAAAATTTCAAGGGTCTTTGAACAAAGGTGATAAAATACAACCCTAGATTTGGCTGAATTTCTTTGGTACGATGCGCTTACTAGAGACTTAAGATTTATGTTTTAGCTTTGCAGTTTTGGGTAGCTCTAACAGCTTTACAGAAACTTGAATGCAATGGTAGTCTACATTTAATAAGACTGAGATTCCAGACCTTCCCTGAAATGCTGTGGAGAAGAGAACTCAAAGACTTTGGAGAGAATTGAATTGATGGACTGGATTTGTTATGTGTGATCTGCACATTTACTCCCCAATTATGTTTCATGAGAGAGCCCAGAAAATATGCCCTTCCCTTTAGAATTTAAAAATGTGTTAGTAGGGAGAACAATTGTATCCTTGAAAAGTTCTGTCATTGCTATCTTTTGTAGGGTAAGTATGACTGTGGCTATGGGCTCCTTGATTTCAGGGGGGCTGAGGGGAGCCCATAGTAGCAGAGGCCAAGTAGCAGTACTTAATCACCAAAGACAAGGTGCACACCTATCATAGGGACAGCAGGAATATATCAGCAATCAGGATTTCTCTGCCATGTTTCGGTGGATAATTGAGAAACTAGATGGGCAGCCTACTAGAGTATTGCAAGAAATACAATAAATCACAGGAAAAATTCTAGCTCTGGTAGCCAAAAATCTGACTTGAGTTACTCCAATAAACAGTTATAATTTTAGAAAATAGTTGAAAAATACAATTTTTACAGACTGTGGTCCATATTTGTACTCTATAAGGAGGTCTACCAAATGACAGTCAATGCAGAGGAGGCTTTTAATAATGAGGTGGATAAAATGACATGCTGACTACATACCAGTCGGTTTCTTGTAACAGCCACCCAGTGCCTGCACAAGGATACATGAACAAAGTTGCTGTCATGACAGGGATGGAAGCTATGATGGACTTGCCTTCACCAAGGCTGACCTGGTTAATTGAAACTCAGCCAAGAGCAGTGAGCAACAATCATCCAGAGACATAGCACAAACCCAAGAGGCCCCAGTCAGCAGCCTGGTGGCACAGCAATGAGTACAGTAGATCTTGTTCATTGTGAGGGGAACAGAGATTGGTCCTCAGTAGAGTGCCTTCCCTTGCCATAATGCTTTTTTCAGAACTACTATCTATTGACTCAAAAAATGGCTTCCCTACCATCATGGCATTCTGCACAGCATAGAATACGATAAAATAATTTATTTGCCAAGGAAGAGAAGCCATGTACTTAAGTCTATGAAATTAACTTATCACATATCTCAACACCTGGAAGCAGCTCACCTAATCGAAAGGTGAAGGGTTTGCCAAAATATAAGACTACTGAAGACTCAGTTATGGTGCCACTTGGAAAAAATGCCCCAAAAGAATGGGGTTTACAGGATATAGTACATGCTTTGAATCAGCGGCCATTATGTATGGCTCGGGGAATTGAGATGCAGAAGGAGAGGGGCAAATCCCACTGTTACACCTCATAACCGACTCACAAAATTTTTGCTTTTTGTCCTGGAAACTTTGAACTCTGCTGGTTTAGCAGTCTTAGTTCCCAGAGGGGAAATGCTTCCACCTAAAGATACAAAAATGTTTCTACTACATGGGAAGACAAGACAGTCACTTGGTTATCTTGGGATCTTGATGCTACCTAACCAACAGCCCATGCCCTCCCACAAAACAAAACAATTACTCTATTAGCTGGAGAGATTAATCTTAATTTGATCTTCATTAATAAAGAGAAACTGGTTTGTCACTGGACTGTGTCTGTAACCCAGTGAATTTTCTGATGTGCTTCTGTATTTGATGCTCAATGATGAATATTAATGCAAAAAATATGTCAAAGGGTGGTTGAGGATTCAAACTCTCCGTAAATGTAATTCTACCTCAGTAGAGAACTCTGAAAAGCTGAGGCTCTAGCTGAGGGTAAAGAAATGGAGAATAA